GCCATTGAACATTGTGTTATGACACAGTTAAACATTTTTAAACACCATTAGGAAATAGAAGTTTTGAATTAGTATGTTTTTGAAACCCAAAGATTAGTACAAAAAGCTTTGCTTTTCTTTTTAAATCTGCTGCTTATTTCTTAACTTTTTGTGAGTTGTGTTTGTTTGTATGTTTTTATTTTAGTTACAAAAGCCGTTTTTCAAACATTTAAATTAGAATCTGTGTTAAAAGTGATTATTGATTATAGACTTTGTCTAAAAAGAAAGAGGGAATTAGGCTGTAAAAGTATTATATTATTAAGTTAAACTACCCAATTCACATTCAAGTGGTGACTTTTGTTTTTGTTTTGACTACACGCCTGACCTTACTGTTGCTGATGCCACAGCAGAGGAGCCTGGTCTAAAATGTGCTCCAATTCATACTGACTTCATTTGAAAAATGCTGCAATTATTTTAAATTAGTAGAATATATGCTGAGATAAATGTTCAAGTGTAAAAGGGAAATTCCATAAAGTGAAACCCAAGGACGCATAGATAATTAAACACACAGTACAAAAGTACATAATACATATTTTAAAGTTTGAAGATTTTTGAGATTTGAGTCTTGTTTTTTATATTAAGAGTTTCTGGTTTTAAAAAGTTTCACATTAGTAAGATAATAAGTAATCTTTATTTACATAGCGCATGTTGAAAAGCCAAGAGCGCTCCAAAATGGTTTAGACTTCAGAGAGAAAAACAATCTCATTCACATACTGATATCTATTGTTTTTTTACATTGGCCGTCTCAAGGATTGTTTTTCAGACTCTGCCACACTGTACGAGAGGTCACTGCTGGACACTGGACACCAAAGCCCACCCAGCCACAGGTCACAGATCAAAGAGCAAAGGAAAATGCCACCTCCTTGCCCCTCCCCACGCCACTGCAGAGCTGAGTGGGTGTGAGAGAGACCGGGGTAGAGAGAGGTTTCTGGAGACGTGATGGGTGGAGCATCAGGGAGAGACCTGAATGAGAGTTGAGAGTGTGTCCAGTTGGTTTGCATCACCACAGTGTGACCTTTGACACCTACGGGTGGTTCGAGGAGTCTGGAGACACAACCCCAAAATTCACACACACACACACACACACACACATACACACACATACACACATACACTCACACATTCACATTTACATATAGATACATGAAAAAGCAGAACATGAGAAAAAGGCAATTTAAAAGTTTACTCCAATGTAAACACATTTTTAATTGTCTATCACTTGAATCTTTAGTTGAATCCGTATTTTTTGAGACCAGAAATGTTCATTTGAATTCTATATTGTCATGGACTAATTGACCTCTGTCCTGACACTTTTGATTTGTTGATTTTGTACTGTGTGAAGTAATTACATTGATTAGAATTAGATCTGATAAAAACACAAATTAGAGAAGTAAACTGAATCATTGCGCTTGCTTTTGTCTGAGGGACAGAAGCAACAGCATGAATAGAAATTTTGTTAAAGTAGAATCAAAGTGACTAACCATAGAAAGTAACTACTGCATAACAAGCTGTGTACAGGAACTGTGAGACTGCACCATTGACCAGAAGTGCATCGCAAATGACCTGATGTGCTTCAAGTGAAAAGACTGTATCTGGAGATCCGATGTGCATCTGGAGAGACCAAAACCATGGCTTGGACCCTTCTGATGTCCAAGATGACATCTCTCGAAATATGACCTGACCTGATGACGACTGAGACTCACCCTCAGGGGACCCTGAGGACCTGAGGATCTGAGGATCTGAGAGAGAAAAACTGGGGAGTGATGTTTATATTATTGAAATCATACATTGATGAGTGCTAAATGAGAGAGATACTCATGATTCTTTCTTTTGTTTTTGTTTGTCCCTAGCTTCTGGACATCTGATGATCTATTGGACACAGCCATTTGCAGAACAAGAACCAGCCAATGAAAACGTCTATTGCCGATGCTTTTGCTAGAACCAGAACCTGTGACCAAATGCAATATACATGTTAAGTATTCAGACATCTGACAGACAAAAACTTTGACTTTTTTGTCTGGGAGACTGAGCAACTGTTAAAATGTGTTAAAGTGATAAAGTATGAGTATTGTAGCGTTTTATTAGATGTTAAATAGTAGTAAAAGAGTCGAATTTGACTTCCTGTGTTGTTCATAAACACATTTCCACATAAGAGTTAAAATAGTACCCTACAATGTTATCCTTTTGATAGATCAGCTAAAATACTAGAATCAGAATAATGTTACAGCCATTAAAAGTGACACAAGTCACAAACTAGAAATATGCCTTGACTCAAGCTGCAGCCAAGCTTTGGAGTCACAATAGTGTAGAAATAGAATTAGATAAATGCATCAACCATAGATGCTTTCAAAAATAGAGAATATTCTTAGCCAGTGCTAATATCAAATGGTAAAGGGACCATTTCACAAGCATTTACTTCAAAAGTAGATAAAGTTACTTACAGTTTTATTAGATACCTTCCAAATTCACTTGTGTTCAAACATGTTGTTGACAATACAAAAAGTTCATATGAGTGTAGTCTAGATTAATGCCTAGATCAATGAGATAGATTACAACCAACAGAGATTCAAAAGCATTTTGATGTATTTGTGTATAGCCCACTGTCGATTCATCAGAACAGATTAGAGAATCAAACACCATTGTAGACCCCAACCCCAAACCTGCTAAAATAGATTAGCTCTTGTAAGGATAATACTAATTTGATTAATGATGTACATTCATCCCAAACTGCTTAAGAGGAGGAAGTGACAGCACTTCCTGGTTCAACAAATGTATTTGGAAAACTGACCGCCATAATAATGTTCATATTAACCATTTGTCTTACTGTGTTCACAGTTTTATTCCTGAGAATGAGAATAGACATGGAGCAAAATCCCACTGATAATATGCCATTGATAATGAGAGTATAAAACCACAGAGAGATTTATTAGATTAAAATGTATGTTTAAGAATATGGCTCAATAGAAGCAAATATGCAAACATATTTGTGAATAGATTAGAATAGTTTTAAACTATAGTGAATAGTAAAAGTAAAGTACACAGTCTAAGATTGAAAAGTGAAAATAATACAGTGAAATAAGTGAAGTGTAAACAATTAGCATTAGAATAAAAGTATAGAGTAATAAAAGTGAAATTAGCTTCTAATTTGAGACTCAGCTCGTTTTTGTCTGTGTTTTGACTGAATCTGCTGAGTTCTTGTGTGTCCAATAGTGTTTGTTTGTTTTTATTTTTGATTTGTTTTTTGTTTGTTTATTTACTTTATTTTTGTTTGTTTGTTTTTTCCCAGGATAGAGGATAAAATCCACTGATATTGATTTTTATGATTATGAGTTTAATGCATACATTTTCTTTGTTTTTAATAATTTTTTAAAGTTTTTTTTTTGATTTTTTTTTTTTCTTTTTCCACTTTATTGATTGATCAAATTGAATGATCACATGTGATTATGTGATCAAAGGGGAGGGTGTTAGTATTAGATAGCAATATGGCCTACGTGCAGGACTCTACAAGGACTCTACAAGGACTCCATGTTATGACTATGATTTGACTGTCTCTTTGTGACACGTATGTCTTTCGATGTGTAATTGTGACAATGACTATATAAACTGTGTACTGCCTTTATTCTGTCTGAGAGAAAGAAACAGAGTAAACCAGTGGAACTTGAGAGAAACTTAAATAAACTTCCAGAGTTTGGCACACCACGATCCGTCTCTGTCTGCTTCATTCCTGACAGAAGTCATCATTAAAAGACCCCTAATCTGTCAAAAGGCATTAATAAAACATGGTCTGTTCATATATTTCTTTAACTGATAGCAGTAATTCAGCCGAGATAATTGAATTTCAAAATTAGTTTTACAGCCACTAAATCTTGTTATTTTTTCATTTCAATGTCCGTTATCCGGGTTGCCAGATTTTCTGACTAAACTCCTGTCTATTCAGCTGTTATGGTCCCAGCTAGATTCGTCTGCATATCTGGCAACCTGAGTCAGGGAGAGTTGGAGAGTATCTGCAGCACCACTGTTGGCCAGATTTTTACATACTGCTCCTTTAAGCGCTTTGAGTTGCCTTGTTTATGAAATGTGCTGCACAAATAAACTTGCCTTGCCACTGTTGTTGGTGTTGTAATGTTCACAATCAAAAACATATGATCTCAGTCAAACCACTCACACCACACCTTTCACATGCAACATTAAGAATATGGCTTTAATATGAGGTTGGCTGTTTGTACACGCTGCAAACAACCAATATTTCATAAAGTCTAGTGAACTCTGCATAACATTATTATTTTGTACATAAGGTATATCTTTCTGTTTTTATTATGAGCTGAGTAGAGAAATCATGACTGATTTATAGTGTAATAAATTAAACGTAATTTGAGAAGATTATTTTCAAGCACACACGGTTATCCACACTCCAGACTGATGAGCCGAAGAGACGCCACTCACATCATCAATCAAGGCTCCTGATTACGCGCTTTTCATAAGTAAGTAAGTAAGTAGGTAAGTAAGCAAGTATGTGCCACCGCTCTCTGGAACTCTCTCCCACAACACTTCAGAAAATCAGAAATTCAAATCACTTCTCAAACCGGTTCAAATCTACACTTACCAGTTTATTTTGGCCTTTTATATATTTTTTCTCCTAAACCTGTCCCTTGGTAAAGTGTCTTTGAGTGGTCTGTACAAGCACAATGTATTAGTATCATTATTATAAGGCTTTATTATAGGTTATTATTGAGATGAGATCATTTGGAACGTATGGCATTACATAAAGCATATGGTTTATTTAAAAAAGTGCGCTCAGTAAATGGAAATACTAATGAATATCAGACAGTATGGTTACAATTCACTGTATAATAACTGAGTAAATCTAAATCAAACTATACATGGAATTCAATGGTGACTTTGAGGTTTTTACACAGAGGCTATCAGAGAAATCCACCCGTAGAATACTAATAATGGTGACGTTAATGTGAAATCAAAGCTTGCAGGAGGAGGACAGTGATCAGCAGTGAAAAGGTGGCGAGCTGGTGGACCGCGGCCTGGTTTGGGACGTCGTAGCCGTAGCTGGTTCTGCAGGGGTTCTCCACCTGCTCGTACGGGATAGGGAGGTCATCCGGAACTCTGCTGCTTAGGTTGTCCCGCACCTAAACAAAACACAACAAGACTTACAATAAATCAAATATCATGGACAGCATTTGAACCTAATTCTGAAATCAATGGCACATGGATTGAATCAGTTAATGAGGACATATTGTGACCGATTTGGAAGGGACAGTGTGCGTTAATGAACAGTATCTGTAACTGTTTCTGTAAATACACCAGGTTGTAGCTTTTAGTAGCTTATTTACATCTGTAGTGTCATAGTAACACACACAAACACATCCTTTGCAGACACCGGGAGAACATGCAAACTGTGTGGAATTTACTTTTACAAAAAAAAAAATTCATATCTTAAGTAGAAATTATTTGGTAACAATGAAAGGGGAAAAAAATCTGTGCACCCATAATACCACTAGAGAGCGGGGTTTGTTTTATTTATTTATTTATTTTGGAATTGTATCAGTTGCAAACACAGCATGTGATTGTAAAGTGCAGCATTTCACTTCAAAAAAAGGCAATACTTTAGTTTTAAAAGGGAGACGGCTTGCTCTGAGTGTGACGCCGTAGTGGTACAATGACATTTTAATAGTTCAGGAATGAGACAGGAGATATTAGTAAGAAGGGCTGGAGATACCTGTTTGTGGCAGAAGGTCTTAACATTGGCGTGGATAGATCTAAAAACAACTACAGGGCTGTTTTGTGCATGACGTTCCCTTTAAAAGAACTGTTGTTTGTAATCATTATCAAGATAATCCTGGATATTGTGTTGTTGATTGCCTTCCCAGTTTTGACTAGATTCTCAGATGACTCATGTTCTGTTTGAATGTCAAAACAGAATGCTTTTATTATTATAAAAGCAAATTTGACTGAATTATAGTTATACGTTTAATGGACCATGAGGTATTTGTGAGGCTTTCTCTCCTAAATAGCCTGCTCTAAATGCCACGAGTGAGTTATTTATGAGTTATTTATCTTCATCTTATACAGGGAGAGGCTGCCACGCTCTCTTTTTCATGAACACCCTGTCACAAAAATACAAAGCAACAAAGCTGACAGTACAGAAATAATAGACCATTAGAAACTCATAAATAAACCCTTCCAAAACCAAATTATTAAAATGTGAAAGTGGCACAGTGTCCAGTGTTTGAAAAAGGTTGAAACAGTTTCAGTAAGTAAGTCATTTTTATTTATTTAGCACCTTACACAGACACAAAGGGATTTCCAATTGTTGTGGGCATTTTTCCCCGAGTGATTGAAGTTGGGGTTTCTATACAGGAGGCAACGTGCGTGCGTGCGTGCGTGCGTGCGCGTGTGCGTGTGCGTGTGCGTGTGCGTGTGCGTGTGCGTGTGCGTGTGTGTGTGTGTGTGTGTGGTCCTCACCTTCTCGGCCTCTCTCAGCACTCGGAGCAGATTTTCTCCCAGAGCAGCTTTCACCTCCTCGTTTTTCCACCCCCTCCTCAGCAGCTCGGCCACCAGACGGGGCACTTTGGACACGTCCTCCAGTCCCTCCGGCAGCCTGTCAGAACCACACCGTTCCATTGTATTTTACTGTCCTCCTTATCTATCCAAAGTCTAGCAGGAGGGTCTAGGACACATGGTCATCGGTCATCGCGTTATATGGACCCGTGCCTTCTATGTGTTTATTTTAAGGCTGCTGTGACTTATAACTATAGAAGAAAACATTTAATCAAATTGAAATGAATACCATAAACACAGGAAGCATCATGACTGAATCAAAAAGATATTAAAAGATAAGAGAAATTAATAATCAAGGATAAAAGTATTTCCATGCCACAGGCTAGTCTCCTTTGAGGTGTTGTGGCTTTGAACTAGTATCCACAGAGATGAGAAGGGTGGAGTGACATTTCTACCCCCCCCCATGCATGTTCGGGATTTTTAGCTCACACTCATACTTTAAATCTTTTTTTCTGATATGAATGTTTAATTTGGGGATTCTTGTATATTGGTGAGAATGGAATGATCCTACGCATGCAAATTCAAGACCAGTCTCCAAGGATTAGCTGGTAATAGAAGTGCAAGAGAGTGGAAAACTTAAATGCTTGACTTTTATTCCTATGCTGTGGCAGGACTTGGCTCGGCGAGGCTGCAGAGACAGAGAACCACCGCTGCATATTTATAGAGGATCTGAAGAAATGTGTTTTGCCTCTCTCAAGGTCCTATTGCAAATAATGCAATTCTCAATGTTGCACAAGCTACAGTTAGACGCTACTATTGTATATTATCTGTTACGCACCTTGTAACTCCATCATAGTCTCCACCAAAACCAATAATTTCAGCTCCACCGATTTTCTTTATGTGGTCAAAGTGATCTGAATAATAAGGAAGCACAAACATTAGTCAGTGATTAAGCAGCTTTACCGCAGGTTGTATAACAGAAGAGTGTTACCGGCAACGTTAGAGATGTTGGCGGTGTGACTGCAGGTGACATAATCGTTGTAAAAGTTCACCATCACAATCCCCTTCTTTTCTTTCTGGAGAGAAAACAAGATGCTTATGTTTAGACTGGACAAGAGTCAACCAGGTCAAGGAATCTCAAGCGTGCACTTTAAAATACCAAATGCAAAACCTTGGTCATTGGTCGTCTCCCTATGGACCTATATGTTTGTTATTATATTTCCTGCGATCGAACTGTTTGAAAATTCTCTAATATGTTGTTGGCGAATCAACAACTTGTGAATTAGGGATAAAAAAAAAAATACATTGAATTGACTTGAATTGACAACAAAAGTACATAGGGCTACCACATTTCTGCAAGTAAAAAAAAAAAATTACATACGTTAAACATTTATCTGCACCATTTTTAAGACGATTACTGTTTCCATTTAAAACCCAAAGCAATTTATCTTTTTTCTTTCTAAATTAAACAAGCTTGAATTAACAATATACAGCCTGTGGAAATTCAGTCTGGGAGGTTACATTCTGCAGCCCATCAAAGCCGGCCCCTTTTAGCCTCGGCCAATCACACAGCGCTGCCAACCTGAGCTGCTGTTTAAAAGCGGAAACTTCCCAGAAACAAACCCGTTTACAGCCTCGCAAGGGGTTCGCTTTGGCGTCACTTTCGTCTAAACACGCCTCTGAACGACCACCACCTCCTCCTCTGCACACGTTCTCATCACAACTTCAATGTTACGCCCCCACTAGTGCCTAGATCTCATGGCACAACTAGTACCTATGTCCCGGGTGATTACAAGTACCACACAGGAAATGATCCTCAGATAAAGTGCTGCAGTCAGGGCCTAAGGGGTCAAACAGACAAGTGAATGTGATTCATTTAATGCAATGTCGTGTCTGTGAAGTCTCTCCAGATTTAATGAGATAAAAAAATGACAATCTGTTGTACTCTGAGAGCTTTTAGCGATTACTCTGTCTCAATAATTTCTGACAAGTGGGTGATGTAATCTCTCCTTTTTACTTTTGTCTTTGTTGTTTTATTCACTTTGATTTGTGTTTATTTGTTGTGTATTTGTCAAAGATTTTAACAGCGGACACAAAGTAGATCTTGTCAGACTTGCACACAGATGGCACTGGACAGCACCAAATACCAGTTCAGATTCAACGCAGATGCTGCTTGTCATTTTCTGGTGTTTTTTTATTCAGCTCATTCTGTTCTGTTAGCGCCCTCTTCTGAAAGTCTTAAAACAGCTTTTTTGTTGTTCACGTCCAGAGCGGCACGGTCCAGAGCGGCACTAGCTACAGGACGTCCACGTTCTGTAGCTAGCTTAGGTCCTGGATCATTAGCCTGTCCGTCCGGAGGAGCGGATCCCTTTCTCATATGGGTCTCCCTCCCTGTGGGTTTCCCTAGTTCTCCCCAAGGTTTCTCACTTTTTCCCACTGGGTTTTTTAAGAGTTTTTCCTTGTCGATGCAGGAGGGTCTTGTTGGACAGTTAGTGTCCAACAGAAAGGATTGGTGATGATCAGGACACTTTAGCATTCTACAACATGTATGGACATTTTCTTCTGTGTGTGCTTTATATTTTTCATGTGTTTTAACTGTTGATTCTCTGACCTGTGTTGGTGATTTCAATGGTTTTGTTAAGTCCTCTGAGATGACTTCTGTTGTGACCTAGGGCTATACAAGAATAAATTGTAATTGTATTGTATTGTATTGTTGAAAAGTAAAAAAAAAAGTTGCAATTGCATCAGAGTTTGTTTAAAATGTTGACGCCCCAAAACACCAATAGTTATAGTGCTGAATGGAAAACAGCCTGTCGTCAACATATAACATATTTACTGAATCTTCAGGAGCCTATTGCAAACTAATACAGCCAAAATGAATGTGGCGGCACCGTGGGGGAACTTCTGAAATGAGGTTTTTTATTAAACATAACAGATTTAACAGCTTTAATGCAATGGGAAGTTCCTGGTGGCCATAAAGAGCACCCCGCTTGAATCTATTTTATTTTTTGAATTGAATTGAATCATGTTTTTCAAAGCTGCACGACACATCATTTCAAATCTTCACTGACAGGAGACAATGGTCCCTTTACAGAATGGAACATTGTCTAAATTGTGTATTGATTAAGGATACGTTACTGAGTTTGAGTTCATTGAAGTTGTTTGAGTATTTCAATAATAAAAGCAACAGTCACATCCATGCTTACAAATATACTCAATAAGGAAGAGAGAAGCTGTGGAGGAATCTTTATCCAAAAACCCCAATCACATAAACGCAAGCTTTATATAACAACCGAGGACAAGGATTTGAGTACAGCGTGCACTTTGCTACATATGTTTATGGTTTGAAAAGCTTGTAATACTCCAATCCCTCTTTCAATCATTAAAAGTAGAATCCAGTAAAACACAGTACACACACTGATATACCATACACAACTCTACCATCGATGGTATGAGACAAGAAAAGATATATGAACAATCGCACAATTCAATTCAATTTATATTATTTTTGTATGGCCCTAAATCACAACAGCAGTCATCTTGGAGAAGTTGTCAAATCAACAATAGATCAGAGAATCAAAGTCCATGTGCATAATGCTAAATGATGTCCCGCATTCATCTATGTCCTTAACCTCCCGTCCATCCACACATCTAAAAGAACAAACACACACACACACACACACACACACACACACTTGTTTGCCTTGTTAAAATTGTCAGGCAACACTTACACTTATAAATATTGGTTATATTCCACCCCGACTATTATCATAAGGGCAAGGACAGACTGTGTTTCTGTGTTCAAGAAAGACAGAACCATCCGTCCGTGCAAACAGATGAAATCGTTTTATTACAAGCCCTTCTGCTCTGACCTTCAGTTTATTATCATCTGAAGCGTTAATCACATGCTTTTTATCCGTTTGTTGTTTTACAGTGTTGCTTCCCGTTTGATTATAAGTCACTTCTGCCCAAGACAACAGTGAGAGATTATAAAACTACCATGGCTACAATAAACAAGTCAATAAATCTCTTTCATAACAGAGATTTATGGACAAACTTACTACTTTTGTGAGGATGTGGTCCGGGACGTTCCTTTTGTGTTTGCAGATAGAGTACGCAGAGGAGTGGCTGAATATGACGGGGGCCTGGGACATCTCCAAAACCTGCTCCATTACTTTCACTGTCACATGGGCCAAGTCGATCAGCATTCCCAGTCGATTCATCTCGTGGATTACTTGCTGTGGAAAAAAATAGAACAGCGTAGTTACTATTGTTGATCCAGAAAAAAAAATGCAATCTTTGTGACAAAATATCAGATCATTTCAGTTGCAGGGATATTACCTTGCCAAAAGGAGTCAAACCATTGTGTTGGGATGGCTCTGATTCTGTGTCTTCAAGCCAATTATCGGCCCTGATAATTATTAAAAAGACAGATGTAAGAACGCATAACAGGGTGTACCGAAGCATCAACATTAAGAGCAATAGCCCAGAATAAAGACAAGTTGATCAAAGTTTACACAATAGTCCTTTAACAAAGAAACAGCATTCATTATTTGAGTAATTAAAATCATAATGAGACTGTTTACTGTTATGTCATGTTGAAGGGTAAACGCAATAGTATTTAGTACTACTACTATACTATAATACCACTGTTTTCAGAAGCAGTGTTGTCATAGTGATGCAGTGTCATCATTGATAATAGAGTTTTAGAAGTATAATCATTTTAATGAATATGTAATACATTGTCTTTAAACTAACTGTGTTGTCAAAGAAGTTCCCTGTGAATGCATGTTTTAAGGTCAATGGGTTACTTGCTAACCGTTGTCTTTCATGTTTGCATTGTCAATGGACGAGCCATATGGAATCTTTGGAGTGACAATAATGTGGCCGTGATGTAGGTGTGTTTTTGTCTGAATGAATAGGCCTGTGACCCGAGGACTTCAGTGCACGCACGGTCACAGCACCAAGATCAGCGATGTGCCGTGACCATGCGTGTGCTCCTTGTCTGTTGTGTTGTCTTTGTCCAGGCACTGTAGTTTATTACCAGCTTTAACAATCATACTTTTACAGAACCCAGACAGGGGCTTTTAGACAGAAGAGATGGATTGACATGTTGTGCCAGAAATATCAGATTTTAGCGTGAATGTATCTGAAACCAACTCTGTCTGTTTTAGATGAGGGAAGAATGTTGTAACATGGATATTACTACTATTTAAAACGACCTTTATATCTGCCATTTCAATGTCTAGGAAACAGAAGGTGTCAGAAGAGAATTCATTGTGTTAGTCATACATTCTCGACGGAGATTCAGGGTTTCTCATAGGGACAATAGTCTAGAACAGCCATTCCCAAACTCAGTAACACCGAGGCCCCCTTAAAAATCTGACGGGTCTGCGTGGCCCCCCAAAATAATAACCAAGAAGACAACATTAAGAATAGGCTCTTCTGGTTATTTTATTTTGGGGAAATAGCCTCTGCTACAAACATTGTAATACAAAAATGATTACAGTGGATTATTCAAGTCAAATAATGAACACAAATATTTTAATATTACAAACAAAACATTATAAATTTAACATTAGATAATTATATTATTTTTTTATTTTTTTATGACCTCCCGCGGCCCCCCTGCAGTACCCTCGCGGCCCACCAGGGGGCCGCGGACCCCACTTTGGGAGACACTGGTCTAGAAGTTACAATCTAACTATAGACTATAGATAATTAGGACAATACTCACAGTTGAAAAGAAAACAATAGATATCATTGTGCATAGGTTTTATCTGACAGGGATAGGCATATATCTGAATCCAAATCACTTTGTCTGTGGTATTTTGGTCTGTTATCAGCTGTATCAAGAATGTCTATACTCTCACAGTCTGATCTCTTCAAATCTCAGAGGAGGAAACTGGGGCCTGGTTAGTACTTTAGACGGGAGACCATTGCAAATAACACACACTTGGGTTCAAATCCCGGTCGGAACAGGGCGGAGTTTGCATGTTCTCACTGTGTCTACGTAGGTTTCCTCCGGGTGCTCCGGTTTCCCCTACCACTAAAAACATGAACAATAGGTCTGGTATGCGCCTCTTGTACTGGCGACCCCGCTCCCATCTCTGAGTGGAGGGAGAGGACAAATGCCCAAAAATAACAATTGTAAAGTGCTTTGTGGCTCTAAGTTTGAACAGAGCACTTTAATGATTTGCACTTGTTTTAAAACTGTTTTAGTCGATTGATTTCCCAGTGACATTTGTTTACTGTTTTATTTCTGTCTTTTAATGTGGTTTTATGTCTGTATTTGTCTGTGCACACTGGAGACTTTTTGCTAATGTATTCCAATCTGGTGTTTTTACTGCAAATGGCAAATAAACTGAATCTGAATCTGGTCTGAGAAAGGCGGTAATAAAGGTGACTTACTTTACTTACTGACTTATTTCTCCCTAATTGAAATGTATGGATCTGCTGTGTGGGTGAGTTTTGGCTAATGTCGCATAGCACAGATTGGCAGCATTCCTTTTATTTTATCATAGAAAACTTTAGATTGTTTAGCATGGACAATCGTTAAAGTCAAAAGCCAATCAAGCCAATGGTGCATTCTTCATTGCATTTTGGAGCATTGATTGATTACTGAGCGCTGGTGGACTTAATAATGAGATCAAATCTAGACTTTCTATTCCACAAATGTACCTAATCCTATAATATATTTCTCAGCAGACTTGAAAAAACTGATATTTTGATAAGGTTTGAATAGTACCAGGGTGTGTTGCAGGAGTGTGTGAGGGTGAGATAGCGCACTCCGAGCTGGTACATGGTGCGGAGCGTGCCCAGGCTGCTGTCGATGGAGTGACCACCCTCCACCCCGATCAGGCTGGCCGTCTTATTCTGCCTGAACGCGTCCAATATGTCTGCGGAGCCACGTGAGACACAGACATGAGCACTCCTGTGTAACCGTCTGAGGCTTCACATACACACGGCCTGTTGAACTTCAACATAATACATTTACATTCACCAAAAAAAAACAACAACACAGATTTCATTTGAAAGCAGAACAGGATTGCATTTTCTAGTTTTAGCACTTTTCCTTAGCCTTTTTTTTTAACTATTTTTTCTGGTGTTTTCAGTTTTGGAGATTCATTGCTGATGTGACAATTTGATATTTAAATCTTTTCAAATGGCAGTTTGGTACTCTATATAGTTTATACCAGGGATCTCGAACCTGTAGCTCGGGAGCTACCATTAGCTCACCACCCCTCTTCCAGGTAACTCGCCAAAGGATTTAGAAATGAACAAATTAAATAATAAACTTGATATTTCAGATTGTATGATTCATTATCATTATATATTTTTCTAAATGAACTTACTGTGTCGCTAGTAAGAAAAATATGCAATGATATATATGACTGTACCCAATATGAGGATTGTTCACACCAATATATCACCATTTATTTCCCAGTGCTGCATAGAGGACTAGCCCTCTGCCTTTATCGTCCCGGGACAGTATCTCTCTGGGTGAAAAATGTTGGAGACACCTGGCTTATACCATCTCCATGATGAGTGTGGGAGGAGAATTCTTTTGCATTAATTACCTCGAGATTTAGTTAGAGAGCTATCTTTCTCTTTCATTCTCAAGAGGCAGCAAAACGCCTGAATTCAATTTGTGACGTGGCATTGAGCTGGAGAAGCCCGTCTCCAGGAAGTGATTGACAGGGGGAGAAATCAAAACAGCAAATGAAACGACTGATGACCGCAACATCTACAGACAGCGCAGAAGGCTGGATGCGCAGGCAAACACACTTGTGTGCAAGTTCGGCTTCTGTTGAATTGATTTCAAGGTACAATTGTTTCAATCTGACAGTACACTGATGTACGTGGCCACCTGGGGACTCACTACAAAAGAGCCAGCCTGCACAAGCTGCAGGTGGCCTACAACGATGATTCTTGAGTGCTAATGAAAACCCAGTTTGTCTGAGCTGTTTGTCACCTCACGAGTGAGCACTTTACAGGCAGAACCCTAATGTACAATTTCATCTGTCGACTGAACAATTAGATAATATTAACGCAGACAAACATCCGGTTCAGTGCTGCTCAATTTCAAAGATGTTGAGCCACTGACATGGGTGTCTTTAAGCCATAACTGTTTTTTGATTTTAGTTTTGTCTGTATGTTTTAATTTGGACCTTTAATTGAAATGCAGTTCTTTAATGTACAATGCAACTAAATCACCGTATTCCACTGATACCTAAGTAAGTAGAGTCTATTTCAGATCAAGTACAGGGCTATATGTGACAGATCGCCATTGTTGGAAGAAGTTCATTATCAGGTCTGATGTGTTTCCGGCACAAGTCACGCTGAGTGTTTACCTCCAAGTCAGCGAGAGGCTACGTCACAGTGAACATGGGGGAAGGGGACTCACAGACAGGGAACCAGAGAGGAACAGAGATCCACCCGTTTCTATTGAGGTGACATCACCTCTGAGCAAAAAATGGCTATAATTCCACAAGTATTGAGTGTTATAGTGTATCACTCAAATTATTATCACACATGTGCTTTGCACGGACTATAAAACATGAAGAGCAAATTATGAGACCTTTTAGGTAAATTTGTTTTCCATGGAACTTGATGAGAGGCCATAAGTCCCTGTGATAACCGAAGGTTGTAATTCTTGTGATTTTTGACATATTGTTCTACATTTCTTCACAAACTGCTTCATGGTTGGTATAAATCTACCATTTATAACCACCACTAAAATAATATCCCACAAAATGTTGTAAAAGTTGTGAACTAATGATTAATAATTTAAGCACAGATGAGTACTTACCCTGACTGCTGTAGGCGAACATAAAAACGTCTGGGTATTTTTGACACATTCTGTGAACGATATCGATCTGCTCAAGTGTCTGCCTCACGGCGTCTTTGTACTGGGTGTCACAGCGGACAAAGGCGGACCAGAACTGAAAGCATATCACATTCAATAATTACACAAACTCAACATATTTCTTGTTCTCAAACTCATATGTGGAGTTAATTCATACATCTTGGTCTGAAACGCAGCTAAAACGTGAAGAGAATGTATTTGTAAAACCACCAAACAAGGAGATTCTAAAAAGTCCCTGGGAAGGACAGTCTGAACACATGAGTCTTCGGTTTACTCTTTGATTCACTCGAGGTTCCATTTACAGGGAAAGCTGATTATCCTACCTTCAATTTTACTCTGGGAACAGCGAGAAAGTCACTGTCTGCTCATCAGTAAACAGGAGATGTAAGGGGGTGCCAGAATGTGAAGCCGTATGCGACAATCTAAATCTGTAGCCACAGCTGCCCTGGGACAGACTGACAGAAGTGAGAGAGCCAGTATGTTCCACCGGCCCCCTTAAAAAACCACCACCATTTTCACACAGCATTCACAGCATTCACACACTGTAAACCTGGATCTTGTAATCTTGTGAACTGTTTAGTAGTCATATGTTTTTGTCAAAATAGTTGTGGCCACTAATCTTTACGAGCTGTTTGTACTACTTTGGCACGACGCTGGTTTGAAATAAGGATGTTAAGCACTGATTACTAAACCAGGTAAAATGACTCGAGGGGCGGGGTCTATTTTCCACATTTGACCTACGTCATGACATCACTCACTCTACTGTCACCGACAGTTATGTTCTGATGTTGCCAGGTTAAAAAATGCACCAATTTTACACAACTGCTCTGGAAAGCCTGTTTGTAATCTGTTGGTCACAACTCATAAGCAAAATATTTTTTATTTTTGTACACTAATGCAGTGGTTCCCAGACTTTTGTCTAATGTACCACTTGGGCCTTTCTTATTTTTATTTTGTTTTACTTTATTTTTATAATTTTTCAAAAATAAGTAGACAATATACCATAGCCAATATACAGAAACATACACAAACATAAAAAAAAAAATACAAGAAACAAACACACAAAAAACAACAAACACAAAAAACAGTAATAAAATAACAAGGAGGAACAAGTTCAGTCCGTCAGAAGATATACACAACACAAATACTGTAAATGACATAAATATAAATGGCCTTTACATCAGATCGGCCCCAATTCCACATCGTACCATACCCGTCTATTTGGTTGAGACAGTGCATGCCTATGCACTAACAGGGGACTCACACATGCAGACACACCGCACCAGACACCCATATCTATTGTCCCTCACCAGCATCCCAAAACACACTCCCACTCCTCTTGGCCCACTGCACATGCTCTACCCGTATACTTGCATACGTATCCACACACTTCAATTATTATTATCTATTTTCCATTTGTTTAAATTCATTATCACTTCAATCCCACACAATATACACCTACGACACTTTTCTAGGTTCAGCAACAGGGTTTTTTTTTTTTTTTTTTTTAATTGATTTATTGATCCCCCTTAGTAGAAATTAGTCCCAACATACAATCAACCTCCGCTGCACAGTCACAGTTAACCACTGATTCACAATATTCATGTGCTGTCCATTTCTTTTATAAACCATTTTTTGTCAAACTCATGGTCCATGTTCCTTATTTTGTGAGTTAACTTCTCGTTCAGTTGTACTTCTTGTATACTATTAATCCATTTTTTAATATCCAGTGGATTACTTTTTTTCCACTCCTTTGTTATGATCTTTAATGCTGTGATTCTAAGAATTTGAAAAATATACTTTTCATCTGAGTTTATATTCATTGGGATTTTTCCTAATATAATATTTTCTGATTTTAAATCAAGTTTCTTTCCCAGTATCGCTTCAACAATTTGAAATACTTCTTTCCAGTAGGGTTGTATTATTTTACAGGTATAAAAAATATGTGTGTAGTTTGCAATTTCTTCTCCACAATTCCTCCAACATTTGCAATTTCCCCCTTTATATTTACTCATACTTTCTGGAGTCAAGAAGTATCTCATAATTATTTTCCAAGCAAACTCTCTCCAGAATAAGGAACCCATGGATTTATGGACTCCAGCACAAATCTGTTCCCACTCGCTTTCGGTTATTTGTATATGAAACTCTTCTTCCCATTTTACCTTAACGTTGGTTGCCATTTTCTCTTTTTGTTGCAGAAAAATTTGGTATAACTGACTCATAGCATTTTTTAAATTCTTATGACCATTATTTGCCATATAAGTTATCAGGGGGTTTAGATCACCTTTAATCTTTCCTAATTTACTATTCAAATAGCTTCTAATTTGTAGATATTTATAAAAATGATTTCTTGGTATGTTATATTGTTTAGAAATGTTTTCAAAAGATTCCATTTGACCATTTTTAAACAGTTGATGGAATCTCGTGAGTCCGTTCTCTGCCCACTTATTAAACAGTTGATCTGTTGCGTTTGCCTTAAATTCAGGGTCTCTAGATATTTCCCTCAGATAAACCATTTCTTCCTCCTTTATCTTCATGCATTTAATAACTCTCTTCCACGCCTTCATGGTGTTTTCTATACAGTAGTTATTCTTTATTTCTTCTTTGAGTTCTTTATCTTTAGTTGTAAATATAGCAGATTTAATTAAATATAACTTATGTGTTTCCATTTCTTTCCATCTTGGATTATTAGAATCGCTTATCCAAGTTATTATTGACTTCACCTGGGCTACTTTGAAATATGTCTCTAGATCTGGTAATGCTAACCCTCCCCCTGATTTTGGCAATTTTAAGTTTTTAAGCTTCACCCGTGGTTTTTTGTCATCCCAGATAAATTTCCTCATCAAGTTATCTCATTCTTTAAAGTACCTGGGTGGTATGTAGCTCGGCAGAGTTTGAAACATAAACAAAAATCTGGGCAGAGTAATGATTTTGATAGATTGAATTTTCTCAAGCATTGATAAATTCAAGATCTTCCATCTAATAAACTCCGTTTTAACTTGATTAATTAATTTATCATAGTTAATTTCAAAAAGTTTACCCATGCTTTTTGGTATATGTACCCCCAGGTACTTTACACTGTCACAGTCCCATTTAAAATTAAATTTACTCTTAATTTCATTATCCACCTCTCCTATCACCATAACCTCTGTTTTTTGTGCGTTTAACTTGTACCCGGAGTGTTGACTATATATTTGTATTTCTTCCATTAAATTATCCAAAGATTTCCCAACTTCCAACATTGTCACCATCACATCGTCTGCATACATCGCTAATTTGTATTCATAACCCCCCAGGCTAATCCCACATATGTTCTTATTTTGTCTTATGCTCTCTGCTAAAGGCTCTATACATAGTACATAAACCAGCGGTGAGAGACAGTCGCCCTGCCTTACACCGCGGTGCAGGCTAAACGTCCTCGACAATGCTCCATTTACTTTTACAGCTGCTTGAGGATTCTTATACATCACTCTCAGAACATTTATAAAATAATCATGGAAACCAAAAGCTTTACAAGTGTCAAAAATAAAATCCCAAGATAACCGATCGAAGGCTTTTTCAGCATCTAATGTCAGCATTAGAGCCTGCTGCCTATGTTTCTCTGCCCAATCTACCAAATTCAGAATCCTCCTCACATTGTCTGACAACAATCTTCCTTGCACAAAACCGGTTTGATCTTTATTTATCAAATGCGGAACTATTATTGATAGTCTGTTAGCCATAATAGATGTAAATATTTTTCGGTCCACATTTAATAAAGACACCACTTGGGCCTTTCTTTAATTCATACTCTGACAAACCTCTGATTTAAAGGATATGCTGATTATTTAGAAACGGAATGACAAAAAATCAAATTAGTAAAATGAAATTGTATAACTTAAAGGATGGCTAAACACTCAAATCTCTTTACAGTTAAATGTTTTAAAATGTATCTTCTTTGACCATAACAATCAAAAATACAAACTGTTTGTTGTTTGTGGTTTGTTGGAGAATGTGGCTGTGCTAGATCCTCTAACCTGAGACTGTGAGGGTGAATACTTCCTGTCCTATTCCGTTACTATTTTATTGTGCACAATTTTGAAATGAAGAAAAATTGTAATGAGAGAGAGAAGAAGAAGGGGGTCTCCATAATGAATAGAACAAGAAGTACCTGCACTGTAAAAAGTGAATCAGACCAAACTTTGATGTAAAATACTTAAATGTCATCACTATATGCTATTATCATAGCACCCTGTACAATACTGATTTTATTGCTTTAAGTGAAGATACTTTAAAGCAGCAGTAAGCGATTTGGTCGTTTCCGGCAGTTTCTTCTGCCTGAGCGAGTTAGTAGCCCCGCCCCCGTCTCCTCGTCACACCACATGAACGCGCATCGTGTTGGTGATGGCAGCAGCAGATTCATCTCCGTCAGGTCTACTCGTAAGTATATTAACAACAAACTCTGGGAGTGAAATATTAGCATAGAATAGCTCAGTTGTAACCTAGCTATAACACTGGAAGCAGCTTGGTGTTAGCTAGGATAGCATCACTAAGAAAGAGATAAAAACAATCCAGTCTTTTATAGAATAATACTGCTTTTATAGTTGGTACACTGATAACTGTTGTGATAAACATAATGTTGCAGATTGCAGTGTGACGTGTCTCAACATTATGCACTGTAACATCTGTTACAGTGCATATGTATTAGATGATTGTAATGCATATACATTACAACAACAAAGCTTTACATGAAGGTTATTTAAAGTAATACATTACTGCTTTCCTCACAATTTGTATATTTGGAGTTCTTTATAGACAACACTGTAGTAATGTATTGTGTGAAAGTAAAGCTGCATCTCACTGGAAGCTGCCTTCTCAATGTCACAAAATAAAGATACATTTATTGATGTAATCAACATCTGTATTATGTGCTTATTGTTCAGAGAATGAAGACAAAATCAAAGTGTATCAGAGCTGTACAGTGAGATGTGGGACTGAAAAACAATTCCAGTAAAGCTTGTCCGAAACGCAAAAGTACTGTCATAACTAATTACGTTACACTATTACACTGTAAGGAAACTCACCACTTTGAAAGAA